ACGTTGCAACAGTGTGGAAAGGGGGTGGGTTGGAGACAGTGATCAGGAAGAAGTGCAAGTCCAGAGACCAGTTAGAAGGCTGTTATATTAATCCAAGTAAGAAGTGATGGCGCCAGAAGTAGGTACTATCCACAGGGATAGAAAGAGGTGAATAGACTCAGGTATTTAAAGGCAGAAAAGAAAAGACTTTGCGTTTGGACATTGTGAAGTGTGTGGACATTTGAGGAGTTGAGGATGACTCCAGTGTTTCTGGCCTTGGCCACTGAGTGAATGGGGGGACCTTGCGTGGAGAAGAGCTACTTTCAGGTGGGGAACAGGGCTTTCATTCAGTTTTGAAGTGTTAAGTTGACATACCTAAGCAGACCATGTTTAACTTGAGAATACTTGGTGCCTTTTGGGATTCCAACTTTGCCATCAGGGCCCCCTCTCTCTGACATAGAGGCACTTGCCAGCATTGTCCCTTTTTTGTCATGTCCTTGGGCAACTAGAGTCTTCCTACAATATTACCATGAAAATTGACAAGCTTCATTCCCCTGCTGTGCCTCCTGTACTTTGGACAGTTTCAGGTCTGAGTGGATATTGGGGATTATACATTGCTCATACTCAAAAAGTCTCCCAGAGCTAGGAACATTCAGGACCAAGTGCTGTCCTTTAGGATCTTTCTTAGATATCATTGTGATTAGAAAAGTCTTGTTCTTTTATGACATTCTTTTCCTGACGTGATTTTATCTGAGTTTGAAAATACTTGAAAATTGAGGAGTTACTTGATTAAAGAGTTTAAATTATAGTTGGAAGTTTTTTAGGTAGTGTTTTAATTTTAGTAGTATTCAATGTCGTAGGTTAAGTCACACCCTGACAAGTAGTTCCTTAAGATACTTTAATCAGTGCTTTGCCATTAGGTAGCTTAATGGCTTCTGAAATCCTCTGGGTCAGTAATTCTCAGTGGGGCTAGAACTGTTTCCTACAGAGCAACTGGGAACTTGTGGGGTAACAAAAAATACTCCACAATGGTTTGGGGCAAGGGGCACATAGGCATTGAGTTGGCTAGGGTCAGGGATGCTGGATGCCATGGACTTTGCATCCATAGGACTTTGATGCAGGTAAAAAAGAAAAAAAAAATTATAATTATTTGAGCATAGCACCTAATTCTATTTTAGATATAATCATGGCCTACTTTTACATGATTTCAGTAGACACTAAGTTTTTCAGGAATGCTATGAAATTTGTAAATTGAGTGAAAAATGAAGTTTGCTTAAGATTTTACTGTAAGTTCTCTCATAGGTGGTATTAATTTCTTTTTTTATCCTGTTTATAACTTCAAAGACTTTAAGATAATGATGAAAATATATTGAAAATATTAAGATAATTTTGTTTTGTTTTTGTTTTTAATGAGAGATGGTTGGAAAACTAATGTTTTCTCAAGTGAAATAGGGCAGACACCCCAGGGAAAGCATATGTCTGGGGATGAACATGATGAACTTGCTGGGTTATAGATGTGTTTCATAAATAAGAACCTAAGAAGCTTATAGAAAGGTGGAAACATTCAGTAGCACTTGCTAGACTGGGTAAATCAAATTGGGTGAAATTACCCCAGATTTTTTAAAAGGCCAGAGAGGAAAAGATACGCAAAGGCATTGAGTAAGTTACAAAATAGATATGTGTCCATTTAGAGTGTATTCTATGGAAAACATGTATCTGGATTTCCTTTTATCTGTGTGAGAATTATAAAGGAAAAAGGAAGCGTGGCAATGGATGAGTGAAAAAGGCTGGTTCTTTTAACCAGGCAGGGCACCCAAATGGTAGCTGGTAACGATATGGAACCATAGCTCCATCTGCTGGAGAGAAGCAGACCCTCTCTTGCACCATATACAAATAAAGTGACCCTCTCTGTATACATGTTAGTGAGCCACCCAGTATTTATTAAATACTCCTGTCTGAGAGGCAACACCTTGCCAGGCTCTAGGGTAGCAGTAATAAAAACTTAGATACATTCCCTGCTTTCACCTCACCATGCTTAGCTGTGATAGGCTTTCTGCTTTTAAGAAAAAGACTTCATTTTTGCATTCTGAGTTTCTCTCTTAGATTTCTCCATGGATGACTTTTAAGAAACCACGTAACCTCTTTCTGAGTATCATTTTCCTTATCTGTAAGATGAGAACGACTGTCTCTCCTACAGGCTCAGTTTAAACTATATCGAATGCCTAGTGTGTATGGCAGCCATAGGCAGGAAGGGCATAAGATAAGCAAGAGCCTTGTTCTTGCCCTCACTCGGGTTAGAAAAAGAAGCTCTTACGAGATAAGTGAGAGGGCCTCATGAGAGCCCTGAGGAGGAGTGCCTGATGCAGACAGGAGAATGGGACTGGAGAGGGGTTGAGGCACGGTTTTTTGAAGACCTTATGCTTCACTTCAGTTGTGCAAGGATGTTAAAATTAGCAAGAGGAAGATGAAAAGCTCTTCCAGGCTGAGGACTGGCATAAGCAGCAACATTGAGATGGGGGCCTACATGGCATATGTCATGGCTGGGTTGCATGAAGTGAGTGGCAGGGAGTGTCCAGAGATGAGGATTGGAGGAGGTTGGTGGGCCAGGGCATATTGGGTTTGTATTCTTCTTTAAGGGGCTTAACTTTGTGCTCAGTGCACCGGAGAGCCATTGCAGAGTTGAAGCAAGTTCTGGAGAGACACCTGGCTCCTTAGATCACTTGTTGGCTGAGTCTCCTGGATTTGGTTAAAGGCAGAGAGTTAGGAGGCTGCCGCTGTAGACCAAGTGTGTAATCATGAGGGCTAGAATGGTAACAGGGCTAAAAATGAGAGTGAAGTAGCACAGAGGGACTAATTTAAAAATGAGTTAGGAGTTAAAATTAGCAGAAGTGGTTGGTTTGAAGGTAAGAAATCAGGGGTGACTGGGAGATTCCTAACTTGGGTGACTGGTTGGATAATGTTGCTGTACCTAAGAGAGTACATATAAAAGGAAGAGCTGGCTATGGGCATGGCAGGAGGGGGTGAGTGGTTTATTTAGTCATCTTGAGTTAGGGTGTCTCCATGAAAGCAGCCAGAAGACAATTTGATGCATGACTGCAGGTTCAAGAGAAAGGTCTGGCCGGTGTTGCTAACATGGGGGGAGTAGTGGAGCCATGAGAGATGGTGAGTCGTCAGGGAGAATGTTCATAGTGTTCACAAGCAGGGAGCCAGGGTACGAATTAGGGAAGTTGCCACACCTAAAAGGCAGGCAAAGGAAGGGGATCCTACAGAGGAGACAGTGATGGGATGATTGGAAGGACAGGATAATGGCCTGGAGACCAAGGGTTTTGAGTTGAAAATGTCCAGGAGAGCACTGTTTATAAATGTCTAACGTAAGATAAGGATTGAAAAATGTGTTCTGGATTTGCTCTTGCCTAGAAGAATTTATCCGAAGAGAGGAGGAGGGGGTGAGATAAAAGCGAGAAGGACTCAAGATAGACTTCTCCTAGTCACCTCCCTAGGCATGTGTGCCCCCTTTGTTCATCACAACACCCTGTTTCCTTCACAGTGCGTGGTGATCAGTAAAGAATTGGGACACAAAGAAATGGCAGATGTTTGCCTCTCTGGATTTTAATTGCAATAACATAAGTTACTTTCTTGAAGAGAATTCCATATGCTGGGAATTTAGCTCACAAGACTTCCGTTCTTTTACTTCTCCCAGGAGAGATTGTGGCTGCTTTCCAGGGTTTATATCTCCGGTATAGTACTATCCCTCATGGGAGTGGGGGTGAGAGGCCTCTTCTTACCCACAAACAGCCTTGTACTTCCAGTTTCCTTCTATATCCCACTCACACCCCTCAAAACAAAGTAAGTAAATCAAGGCCAGAAAAGTCCTCTGGCTGGAATTGTACATACGTTTAGTCTTGTATTTCAAGTCCAAACCCAACTCTGGTGGTTAGGCTTTAGAGTGAGCCATGGAGATGGAGCCTGTGTGGTGCCCCCAGGGGTGCTGGGCCAGAGCCCTGAAGTTTAGAGCTCACTGCCTACAGCTTGTCTTAGGTGAGCTCTTTCACCTCTCCAGACATCAGACTGCTTCCCTATAGAGTAGATGGAGTTCCAGGGTGCCTGTCACATCTGCCCTTCTACTGACAGTCGCCATCTCTCAATACTGCCAATACCCAGTCTCCATTGTTGGCATAACAAGCAAAGGTGAGGAATTGTTCTCTTGTTTTTAAAGATTAACCTCAGGTCCTATAACCAAGAAATGCTGTTATCATTCTTAAAATGACTGCTTTATAATAAATTTTTTAAGGGACTTTCTTGTAATATTCTCAATGAATCAGGGCAAGGAAGTCTTCATTCATGGAGGCGGAAGCCTGTATTAAATGCTCCTGAGTTCCTCCATCTCTACCAAAGATCCCTTGATTAGTCTTCAATGGAAACTTGGCACCCAGGAGTCCTGCGAAGTGACTCAGTCGGATGTATGAGGCCTCATTAGCATTGGCCCTGCTCCTTCTCTGCACTGTGTGTGTCAAGGATATCTGGGACAGAAGGCTATTTCCCCTACTTAGCCTGCCAGAGTTTGGCCTGCCTGCCTTTAAACTGGGCTGAGCTACCAGGAGGATAAAATAGACTAGCTGTTCAACACTGACATGGTAAAGCATTCAGAGGAGACTTAAAAGAGGCTCTATTATTTCAAACATGTAGATACTATCAAGATCCAAAAGGGTGGAGAATATCTTTTTATGAAAGCTTCACCTCTTTCTATACTAATTATTGTTTGTTTTTCTAAATATTTTCTGCACAGCTTTCAATAAATTTGTGGATGAATTTCTTAACTTAGTAAGGTACATAAAACAACAGGATATGAGTTATGACATTTAGGGGTGTTGCCTTATTGCTTCAGAACTTTGGGGTTATCGTGTAACATACCATGTCACATGACTTGACTGAATGCAGGAAAAAAAGCCCTCAATTTGGTTTCATTGGCTTAAATATAGCTCAAGGCAACAGACACAAAATTAAGATGAGGAAGTACTATACAGTATAGGAAACAGGAGCTTTTAAAGATAATCCACTGTAATCTGGAACTGGTTGCCCAGGCCCTGATAAATGAGAGAAAATAAGAGCAAAAGTACCAGAAAGGAGATTCTTTATTCTTGAGGTGAGAACAAGAGAGTGTAGAGGCTCATCAGGTAAAGTGCTCGGAATATCAACTTGCTTTTGCAGAGGTGGGGCTGTGTGTGCAAAGTGATTAAGACAAAGGAGTGGAAGTCTGAGAGAAGACATCCATCGAAAAGACATTCGTCTAAACTTGCATATCCAGTAACAGGAACAGTCTTGGGTAAGTTGTAGTAGCTTTTAGCCATGCTAATTAAATTTTCCTTTTCGCTGCTGCAAAGTATAATGGTTGTGGTTCTAACTTCCTGTGGGTGCATATTTAATTACTGAGTATATGTAAAAGTAACTTTATATTTTGTTGGTTTTAAAGTGGATGAGGAAGGGAGGCTATACCCTTATATTTGTAGAGAAAACATTAACAGTCTTGATAATGTTTTGTGCCATATGGTCCTGCAGAAGCATAGAGTGCTTTTTGTCATTTTATTACATTAAATATTTTTAACCCACATTCTGTGTAGGGTCTTAAAATAAAATAATCATATACTGTTTAGCACTACGGTTAGTGAGTATCTGTCTTGCCATGGTATGGAAAAAGCAACTATAACTACTTGAGTTATTTATTCGTTAACCTATATAAGTCTGTAAAAACCAGCAGGCCATTTTTAAAGTGATCTTAATGCACTAAATCTACATTTGTAAAACATTTATTGAGAGGTGATTATTCACCCCAGAAGGATCTTGTGCCTTACACATGATCTGCCTTACACAGTGTACTTCCTTAGAGATTTAAATGTAGTTATGAAAACATTTATTTTGCAGTCAGTCTCCAGGAACATGATAACCTTGAGAGGAACATAGCTGTGATATAGAATAGGGTGATGTGTAAGGGGCTTTCTTATTTTGTATGTTACATATTTATAGATATGTTTTTTATAAACACATTGTCATGAAATAAGCAATAGTTATAGTATTAAGAGAACAGATTTATTTTTTTCAGGGACAAGAAATAAAAAGTTCTAAAGGATGATCGCTTTGCTTTGGGTCTTGCAAGTTAATAGAAATTAACTTCAAATTAACTGCCTTGCAACAACAAGGCAGTGTACATGGCTCATAGAATAAAAAATGAAAAAGATACTTTGGATAAACATACATAAAGATGGTGTAAAAAAAATTGCCCCCAAATAACCAAGCATAATCAGACCAACATGAGTATACTGTCAAGTTTGGAGGCATAACCAAAAGTTAGGAGTGACTTGTAATTCTCAGGGACCAGCACCATTTAGTTGATTCTTAAGTTGGGCTTTGAAGAATGAGTAAATTTCAGCATTTAAACAATGATGGGGAAGGGTATTCTTCTAGTGAGTTGGTGACATCTTCAGCAAAAGTCAGTTTTACTTCCTTGTTCAGAATCCTCCCATTGCCTTTTCACCTCGCCTGAATGGAACCTGGAATCCTTATTCTGGTCTGCAAGGGCATACTTGATATGCACCCTGCCCTTGGTTTCCTCTTTCTTTCAGATGCCATATCTCTACTGCCCCTTTCCACTAGACTCTAAGATTGATGAAGCAGGGGCTTTGTCTTCCATGTTCCCTCCTGTATCTCCAGTGCCTAGCTCTAAGTGCTCAATAAATGAGTATACAATGAATGAAAATAATTCAAAAGACATCTAATGTGCTAGGATGTAAGATGTGTTTGCAGGATAAGAGTGATAGGGAGTGCGCATAGATTACTGGTCTTGAATACGATATAAAGTTTTGGGTGATTTTAAGGGACTGGATATGGTAACATTGCAGGTGAAGGATGGACCTGGAGAACTCCCGTTGCCTGACTACTATTGCAGAGATTTGCTTCTCTCTCTTTTGCTTTTTTTTTTTTCTTAAATCTGCTCCCCTTCTCTTATGTTTTCTTTCTCTCACTAATTCTTTCCTTTACCCCCTGTGATTCTGTTACCATCTTCTATCTTTTCTAAAGGGAGGAAATCTGTCAGGAGCTGGTCCTTCTTCTCTATCCCCCAGCCCCACCAGGACCTGGAGTTGTTGTCCTCCTGTGGAAGGGGTCCTAGCGGTAGAATGAGATTCAGACGCTAGATTGCATTGATGCATAATAAACTTCTTTAAGCCAGACTGTCAAAAGGATTGGCATTTGTAATAAATAATAGCAGGTATTTGGGAAAAGTCGGGTGGAAAATAAGAAAATAGCATCATCCAAGAGGGGAATTCAGTCTTCAAGGTTGTCAGCTCAGCACACTGTTAGCAACAACTTGGAGGAAATCATAAAAAATTTTTCACAGATCAGCCAGAAATAAACTCCAGACTGCCAAATCAGGTGTGATTTCTTAGAGAAGTTGCTTTTCATTCCCTATGATCCTGTTTGGTCTGGTCAGTAATCAAAAGTCAATATTCAGTTTGATTTTACTTCTTTCTAAGACCATTATAAAAGTATTCATTCATTGTGTATCTGATGAGACACAGGGAAATAAAGGATGTATCCATGCATCTTAGGAGAATGGAGTGCACACACATGAAGTAGCTAAAATTATAACAAAGCTACATTTAAATTTAGGCAGTAGCAGGATGCCTGGGTGTGGCTCAGTCGGTTAGGCATCTGACTTCGGCTCAAGTCATGGTCTCACACTTCATGGGTTCAAGCCCCATGTCAGGCTCTGTGCTGATAGCTCAGAGCCTGGAGCCTGCTTCAGATTCTGTGTCTCCCTCCCTCTCTGCCCCTCCCCCGCTCATTTTCTCTCTCCCTCCATCTCTCTCTCTCTCAAAAATAAATAAAAGATAAAGAATATTTTAAAAACAAATAAATTTAGGCAGTAGCAATGAGCTATTGATAACGATCCTAAGGAGAAAGCGAGCAGCAGCCAGAATTTTGACATAAATTTTAACGATTTGTCAATGTGTAGACCAGTGGAGAGGTGAAGGGAAGAATATGGCAGATAAATAAATGATGGAAATAGATAATACAACTGTGGGGAAGGGGACAGATTTTGCTAGAAAGCGCCCCACATCCCTGACTGGTAAGGGTGATTCTGTGGAAGTAATTAGAATGGAAAGGAAGGAAAAAAGAGTCTTGTACTCCAGACTTTCTATGACTAACCCCAAAATGACTAAATCAGCAGCCGAACATACCCACAGGGTTTCTGAGACTCCAAGAAAGGGAAGTAACAGTCACTGAGAATGCACTTTGTGTTGGTAAGTGCTTAAATGTTTTCTTTCTATTGAAGTCCTTGAAACATTGAGGGGGTTTTATTATGACCACATTTATAAATGGAGACCTAATCTGTAGGTGAAGAAATCTGCCCTGGCTAATAAGAGATAGAGCCAGGATTCTAGTCCAGGCTGCCACTTCCCCTTGTTTTCTGGGATACATTTCTTTATTCAGTAAACCTAGATTGGTGCTATCCAATAAACACATGAGCCACATCATATGTGTAGTTTAAACTTTTCTACTAGCCAGTGCAAAATGAAACAGGTGAAATTTATTTTCATAATATATTTTCTTTAACTCCATATGCCAAGCTATTGTCCAAACTATATACATATCATGTAACATATTAAAAACTATTGAGATATTTTACATTTTTGTGAGCTAAATCTTTGACATCCCAAGTCTGTTTTACACTTAAAGCACATCTTGATGTGAACTTAGCCACATTTCAAGTTGCTGCATGTGGCTACCAAATGAGCAGAAGTCCAAGAAAAAGGATTGAGGCTCATCCTGAAAAATCAAAGGTAGAAGCTCTGCCTTGAAGTCATAGGGAGGAATTAAGATGGGGCAGGAGAGCAGCTTCCCCTAAGATGGAAAAACTGTGGAAGAAAGGTACCATACATGGAAGGCAGGACTGCTTATTAAAGGAAAGTAAAGATGCAGAGCACAAAGCACAGAGTTTTGGAGTCGCTGTGTTGTACACTGGAAACTAATGTAAACACTGTGTCTCAACTATACTTCAATAAAAAATTAAATAACTAAATTAAGAAAGTAAAAAAAATGTTTTTAATTAAGAAAATAAAGACATGGGGTGCTTGCCTGGCTCAGGCGATGGAGCATGTGAGTCTTAATCTTGGGGTTGTAAATTCAGGCCCCATGTTGGGTGTAGATATTACATAAAAATAAAATCTTAAAAAATGTAAAAAAGAAAGTAAAGACATTACCATGTCATTTAAGACATATTACGGACTGAAGGGCCATTTATGGAGAGCGGTAAAGTCATACCAATCTTTATCACTACCTCCAGTAACGACCACAGGAAAACTGTGGCATTGAGTGCTAGATGCTGAACCATATTTAGCCAGGGGGATAACATGTTTTGGCAAATGTGGTAACCATTAAGAATGGAACCACAGCTCTTAATACATATATTTATATATATGCATGGTGTTAACAAAAGAATGTCTTCTTCCAAAGGCCTAATGCCTTTTTCAGATGGGAAATGTAATGTCCTGCTTTAGGAAATAACCATGAACAAACTACCTTATATGGGAATTTCCACAGACTTCAGCTCTACCTAGAGCAAGATAAATGATAGTTTCAGACTTCTATTGCAGCAAAACAGGAATTATTTTAAAATGTTCTTGGAATTTCCCCTTCATTCCCTTCCTGTGATTGTGCTGCCTATTTTGTTGCCTTTGTCCCACTTAACCCCTGTCCTTCAGTCTTTTCCTGTTATATTTACTTTACTTT